TAGATAATCTGTGTGCTTGAGTTGCTGGTGCATTATAGTTTTCTTGATTTTCTTGATGGCCTTTTACCGAATGAAGATTGGAATTTTTATGGTAAATGGTTGCAAAATTCTCGCATTTCTCTTCGTTCTTCTGTGATTATAGAAGGAAAAAACCCCTTATGGCCTTTTGGACTTGACAGAATGTATTTTGTCGATTCCGTGTCCGTATCGTTTTTTCCATTTGGCTAAGATTGTTATATTTTTGTAAACTAAATAATGAATCAGTGGTGTAAATATCTTGGTTGATATAAATTCATAAAGAGAAACAACTAACTGGGAGGTGGAAACAAGATCGAAATTAATCAATAAAACTAAGTCTTATTCGTTGTAAATTGAGGTCCGTTAATCCCGAGATCAGATCAAGTGTCACCTCCCTTCGAGTTCCAGTTGTTTTATAAGCCAAGGGTTGAAAATATGGATTTTAACTCTAGATACTATTAATTTAGACAGTGCTGAATATCTGTCTGTGTGTGTTGGTAGGTTTTTTACAGGGGAGTTTCTAAAGAAAGGATAAGAATAATATGATGACAGCACAATATGAAAAAAATAATAATAAAAAAAAAATTCAGAGTTGAATTGGATTGATTTCACAATATGATGACAACAAAAGATGAAGTTCAAAATGCTAACGTAGTCGTCGAATGACGTGTACAAAAGTGATTGATTTCACTAAATAAGCTTTAAATCAATCAATATAATCACAAAATAGCAAATGCACGGAATAGTTGACAAGTAATATATAATGAGTTTAGTATCATCCCACGAAAAATATATGTTAATTTTAAGTGTACTAGTTTTCTATTAACTTTGAATTATTTTAACACAAAAGTGATTTATTGTAATTATTCTACGAAGTATGTAAAAGCGTTGGTTAATAAACTTGTTTGAAATGATTTTATTGGATTTATGAATCCGCCTATTGTTATTTATTTTCAATTCTCAACTATTTATTTAGTTTTAGTCATACATTCTTGACAATTTTCTTTTTTAAGATAAGTTAATCATATCATAAATATGATCCGACTATATTTCTAGTCTGAATTCATATGAATAGCATGCCGTAAACACCCAATTATCAAAGAAATTGCACCGTCATACTTATTATTTCTAACATGTATTATCCATGTATTAACCTAGTAGTATTCTGAATTTATTATGAACCTCCCAACACTACAACAAGTAACTAATAATCTAATTGATGGTCAAATAATTAAATATTACAACGAGAATGCAATATTAATCAAGAAGCACAAGAATTACTAAACTACTTGTCTTTGAATTCAAAATAATAAACAAGTCGTTCATCTTCATCCAATATATGGGAGAAATGAGGCTCGCATATTTAGATATCAACTGCACTAAAGAGTATTGAAAAGACATTATCTGAAATATGAAACAATATAAGAAGCTTAATGAAGAATGATCTTGGATTCCGAGCATTGAATCAACAATTCTTGATGTTATTCCCTTGTATTCCGTGCTAGACCTCTTCCTTGCACTCTAATGTCGTCCTTGGCAGCCTCCGTAGCTTAAATAGGTGCTAGAATTTCAAATTAAAAGGAGTTTTCGTAGTGAAAGAAAACCAACCCATCAGCATTCATTTTGAACCATGTGTGCTCGGGGTACACCATCTCACGCTCACATCCCTTATTGGCCTCTTGTTTGGAAAAGATGGATCTCGCACACCCACATGCACGAGGTATTGTCCTTATAGACAAATTACAATTTGGTCCCTAAACTTTTCAAAATGATTTTGATCCTTTTCAGTCATTTACCTTTCTTTTGCATCCAATTGATTCCTAGCACTCTCCAATCATCTATATGCAACATGAATCAGATTTTAAAAGTTTACGTTTTAGTCCCTGAATTTTGAATTTCATTTTTCACTCTTTTTGTTCGATTACATCATTTTGCATCGAGTTTCCCATGACAAGTGAAATAAATATTGAATTAAGCCATAATCCATCAAAATGAAAAAATAATTAATCTAAGTTAATGGTACAAATAAGTGTATTGCAATTTAGGAATGTCAATTGGGCCGAGTCGGCTCGTTGCACACCGGCTTGGCTCGTCAAAACTCGGCTCGTGGGCTGCTCGGGCTCGTCATTAGCTCGAGCCGAGTAGGGGGTCCCGTCCAACGAGCTGAGCCCACAAGTCGGCTCGCCCATAAATGTGGAAAAAAGAAAATTTTATCAATAAAATTTGCAAAAATAAAAAAAAAAAACACGAGCTCGCGAGCCACTCGTGGGCTCGGCTCGGCTCGGCCCATGAGCTCGTGGCTCGTGAGTACACGAGCTCACCCACGAGCAACGAGCCCGAGCCGAGCCACTGCCATCCCTAATTGTGATCTCTTTCTATTATTGCTTGAAGTGTATTTGAGTTCAAACGATAAATAACACACAATCAATCACAATAATTTCTAAAGGTAAAGAATTTATCCCTCGATTTTCATAAGTAGTTCAAATTTCTTCATAGAATGAGCAAGCCATCCAAGAAGGACAGTTATGCTTTTCTTTTCTTTTTTCTTTCTTTCCCATGAGAAAACAGAATCACTTCCTTTTCGGGACAAGCCACAGGCCCGACAGAATTGGTTTTCCCCACCACCCGAAAATATGTAGTGTGGAATGAAATTCAAGATCATCTAGTGATCTGAAGCCAATGTAGGTCTAACTCAACTTGCCTTAAAATAGTCGATGGCTTATCTCATATAACTGTGTGTTACCATATTCACTGCCTCTTGAACTAGTTTTACAGTTGACTAAAGGGGAGTTTCGACTAAATCACCTGTACTTTAGATTGAATTCGTCATCACAATGTCATTCCAACAATATCCTTAAGGAATTGGTGAATCGAATCTGGACCTTCCATCAATTTTGAAAAGAAGTTTCGTTTATCAATCAAGCTTTAGGTCTAACGCCTTGACGCGCACTTTCCATTTGAATACTGTACGGGCTTCAAACGTAGTACACTTTTTGAGATTTCCATCTTTGAGAGCCTTTTTCTGAGATTTTCAAGCTTCTTTGAGTCAAATGGAAGTATCTGTAAAGAATATTTTGTTTGTAAAGCTCACCACCATTTGATGTCTTATATTTCTCTATTAAAAACCTTCAAAAAATCTTGATGAAAAATCAACCAAATGAACCAGTCAACTAGCTCGACCCAACAACCCTTAACACCTTGGTTGCCTCAATTTTACCCTCCACAAAGGAGACACTTGGTATTGGTATTTGCAAGCTACAAATGGAGGAAGGAGAAGAAGAAAACAATGGTTGAATCTCTCTCAAATCCACCCCCAAAAAATCGGCTTCCCTTTCACTCTCTCTCGGCTATCTCTCTCAACTATCTCCTCTCTTGTAAAATACACACACAAAATGAAGGAAACACATGGCTCTGTGTATACTGTATATAGGCATTAGGTTTAGTTTTGGGCCACGACTCACGCATAATGGGCGAGTTAACGGTCTAACAATAACCAAATCCATACATTAACCAAACTACCAACCCAAATCAAATTTAGGCACTCCAAAGGTATATTAATTGTTTTCGAGTCAAGTCGTCACTTTGGTGTCAACAAAATATCCAACATCACTTTATCGTCATCGTCCGAACTTATTACGTATGAAAACCCAATAAATTTCCACAATAATACCAAATCAACATGCAAGCAAACAAAACACAAAGTTTATACTTTCATAATCAAGATAATCCAATAAAATTGGTATTACAGACCTTATCTTATGTTTCGGATCCGAAACACATACCATACCTGTTCTATATACTCACTAAGACTAATGTCAAAAAACACGCAAGTAGAAGCAGATAAGATATAATATAGGATAACACGCAGATATTTTCAAAAAACATGCTCACACATATGCCTGGGCGCATTTTGGTCTGGGTTGATTTCGATTTCATCCCGAAACGAAAACCAAATTAGTCGATTTGAGCGAATTTCAGCCCAAACTAACCCACTTTAACTCTTAAACCAAACCGAATAAGAAGATTTGGTAAGTCGATTAGGATTTTTAGTCCAAATTGAACTTTTTAAAAAAAAAAATTGTCCGAATTTTGAGCCCACTTAGATTACAAGAACTTAAAAAACCAAATAATTTTATAGTACAAGAACTATTAACTAACAAATA